TTGAAGACGAGGTATCCTTACCGAAGTTAAGCTACAACGAAGTACCGAACCCTTCAACCCAAACAATCACCATTATCGATCCCCATCAACTCTTCAATCAAAACCCACAACAAGCAAACAAACACACACAAAACTACCTTAGATTAAGGCCCAAACAAAGAAACTAGGTACCGTAGGTAAACGAAGCCCAAACAAATGGATTCCCCTCCCACCACCCACCCCAACTACCAGGACACCACCCCAGCACAGCGCCCCATATCCAAACAAAACAATGGCAAATGTTTGTGCGGTGTAGCAAAACCGAAACCCAAAATCCCTGAGAAAAGCAAACTGCATATACAGTAGATAACTAGTTGCCTCGGGGCTTCCCTCGGGATAATAGTGAAATAGCGCCGGGGGAGGATCGGAATCCCAGGCGAAGGACGGAGCTAGAACAGTAAGTTATCATCCGTCCGGTCCCCCTGTCAGTCTGGGTCTGGTTTTCTCTTGAGTCATGGATGAAGGTCTAGACACTTTTGGGGTCTTTGATCTCCTGCGTTTTAAAATCTCGCAATATTTGGACATGGGGGTTTGCTGTACTCAATGGATGTTACCAAACGCAAGAATGATGAAGCTATCCATTTCGTACCTTTTTTGCCCCGCCGCTCATCCATCCACATCCCTGGGCCCTGGGAGGTGAGGTGAGGTGATGAGACCCTGACACGAGGTATTAAGCACGGTGGCTGGAGTTTGGAGTGGTATGAAAGTACTGTACGCCGTACCTCCTCCTGGTTACGCCATGGCTGGTTGGTGTGGTGGGTGGCTTGTGGTGCCGAGTCCTTACCCCCGGGGATAACTTAATTGTGTCAATTATGTGAGGTGACTACGATGGATTCGGCTTATACCACACCTCCCAGGTACGGTGGGCGTGTTAGTCTGATGAGCTTCTTCTGCCGGTCACACCCCTGTGTCTGGGGGTTCTCGTCGTGTAGAGTATACACAGAACAGTACACTACGGTACAGGTACTTCGCCTCAGATAAATGGGTAAGATGACTACTACCAGGCTTCTCACGCGGGTTTAGAACCGTAGGATCTCAATGAGACTGCACATCTAATCAGCGCATCGCATGGAATACTGTACTGTGCTTGCGATCTGGCCTCAAGTACTCCGTACAGTACTCCGTACCATATGGAAGTATGTACATCAGTCCACGACCTCTAACTTATGTGCTGTACCTATGTACTGTACATGTACATGTACATACATTTACATGTCATCTTTGTTCCTGCAGTTTGCTTTCCACCGCAGGTGCCCCGTGCAGCAGCTCTCCTAGCCTAGTCTACGGAGTACTGTAGCTTCCCCTAGCTTCCAATCACTTCAGTTACCTAGTTAGTGTCGACACGCAAAAGCTAAGCTACCGAGTCGGGGGATTTGGTATGCAGAAGTGGATGGGTCTTGTGGGTGGGGGTGCTGGCGGCGGTGTGTGGTCTGACATCTATCTATCTATGCGATGCAGGTCGTATGTGTGTGCTGTGCTGTGCGGCGCTGCGCTGCGCTGTGCTGGTGCCCGGTGCTGGTGCTGTCCTGTGCTCCTCTGGTGCATGGGGGTTCCTTGCTACAGCGGGGGTGGTCTATGAACTTGAGCCTAAGGCCTGAACCTGGACTTGAACCTGAACCCGGAACCAAACGATTTTAATTGCAACTCTTGGACGATTTTGGGGGTTGGGGGATTCGGGGGGCTTCTCTCATTTTTCCGGTCGACGTGACTGGGATCGGGGAAAGCTTCCGGTGGACTGGGATAGGAGGGATTGTCCCTTGTGCATTGGCCTTTTGGATTGAGTTGGGGGGGTTTGGGGGGCAGGGGACAGGACCGGGGGGATGGGAGTGGAAGTATCACCCGCGGAAATCCGGGGCGAGTACTAGGTAGGTGCTACCTAGCTAGCTACTAGCTAGCAGCCAAACAGACAGGCAGGGAACAAGCTGGTAAGCTACCTAGCAAGCAGGCAAGACGGCAAGACGGCAAGACAGCCAGCAACTCAGCAATCATGGGGAAAACTACGTACTTTGTACTGTACCCCCTCAGCACGCCCTCAGCACGCTCGCGATCGCTTCTTCTAAGGATATGCAGTGTACTACAGTACATGTAAGTATCCGAAACACCTGCATATTAAAGCCCCTCCAACCGATGGTGCTAAGCTCCAGCATTGCCCCTCAAGCCGGCTCCTGCTCCACCCCGCCCTCGACGGCGAGGACGATTTGGAGCCAACGGATCTTCCGACTGGAACAGAGGCCCGCCTCCGGTTACTCGCATCCCCTGGAGAACGAGCTGGCCACCATCGTCCTTGAAGCCTTCGCCATCGTTCAACAAATGCGTCCAGCTCTTGCGCATCAGTATATAGCATTCTTTCAAGTGCCGAACTCGCTCGAGGTACGCGGGGGAATCAGCCTCCACCTCCACTGTCCCGTGCTCCTGGTCGATTTTGGCCTTCATTTTCCCGTACAGAATGAGGTAGCTCACGATATCCTGAGCCTCCGGCTCAGTGATACGTATGTGCTTCGTGATGAACTTGAGCGTGAACCGCTTGTACGGGGCGGTCAGCTTCTGCACCGCGCGGACGCGCATGTTCCGGCTGACTTCGTCGATGTTCTCCGCGATGAACGGGTCGGCCAACACGTCGGCGTTCTTACTGAGGATATCCTCGTAGGTGCGAATGTCATCCCGTTGATATGCGTCAACGAGATCGGTCATGGCAGCGATGCGCGGATCGTTCTTGTAGGGTTGCGTTTCCTGGGAGTCGAATGGATTGATGTCCGATTTCATGAGCATCGTCGTCAGCACAAGGTACTTGAGCACCTGGATGCGCTGCATAGAGCCCGCCTCGTCGTAATTCCGGAAGGACTCGAAGAAGTCGCTCTGCGCCTCCTTCCAGTTCTCCTCGCTCATGTGCATCTTTCCGCCGCACTCCCGGATGATGCCCATGATCTTCGGATGCGGCACAGCCGACCTAACGCGTAGAGCCTTCTGGTAGAGTGCCTTCAGCCGCTTGTTGTTCTTGGTCTCGGCATACATCTGGATCTCCAGTGCGTAGAGTTCGAGGAGGTAGGTGCCTTTGCTGGGGTCGTCGCTCCCGTCCTCCCGCTGACACGCCCGGTGCAGCTCCCGTACCTTTTTTCTCAGCTGGCTATAGTCCTTGCGCTCGAGCCACAGTCGGGCTAGTTTGATGTTGGTCTTCAACCATAATCGCTCGTTGTTCGTGTTCTGGAACGATCGCAGCGTCAAGGAGTAGAATTCCTCCATGCACTGGTATGCCCTTTCGTCGTCGGAGCCCTTCTCAATGTAATCCAGCATGTTGTTGATTGATTTCTCCGAGTAATTCCGGGTGACGGCTGACTTGACGTAGGTGAGCAGTTCCCTGTAGTGTTCAACCGCCTGAGCAGTCAGTATTGATTGCATGTAGGGTGAGCGAAGGAGAATTACATCACTGTATCGTCCGAGCTTGAATTCCAACTTGATGGCTTGCTTCAGCCCCTTGAATCCCCTGCGCATGGCTTCGTTACTTTTCTCGACTGGATCTATTTGGTTCGATGTCGGCCTTACCAGTCGCCTTTATCTTGCTCCAGTGCCGGCACTCCTAGGAACTCGTCGATCGCCTCCTCCGGATTGTCTATCTTCACTTGTTTCGCGTTATAGTATTTGTTCTCGATCCCGACGTCGCCCGACTCGTCCTCGTCTTCATCCTCGTATTCAAAGTCATATCTAAGAGTCGGTCAACCAGGTGCGACGGCAAGTTGGATACTGGCACGTACTCCTCGTCACCAGAATCTTGCATGAAATCATCGTCGTCGGACATTTTGAGAGAGTAAGATGTAGTAGCAAAGTTCGCTAAAGAAAAAAAACAAAAAGTAATAGGAATAGGTGATTAAAGCATTAAGGAGAAGGGATGGGAGATGATGCAGTGGTTGACCCGTGACGAAGTGAGAGAGGAATGAGATAAATGGATGGAACCAATGGAGCCAACGATGGAGGTGCAGTCCGCGCCTATCGGAGAGGTCGGTTTGCTGGGCCGCCTTCCCCGCCTTCCAATTTGGAGTCAACTTCCAGTCACTGGACACCTTCACCAGTCACAACAGTTTCTTGAGTGTTGCACCAACGGTTGAGCAGGCTGCTACTTTTAAGTCTACTAGGTGGCTATGCATGACAAGGCCACCAGTGACACATCCCGGCCTTGTCTCTGAGTACGAGTTCATGGAGGCCTATCCCGCATATTTGACCAGATTATATACACAAGTGGTCAATCTTGACTACTAACTCAGAAAAATACTTCCAAGTGGACACGATCAGCATGCGATAATCAGTCTGAGACAGACTCCATACTGATTGCGCAGGCTTTTTCTTGTCAACTAGTTATGATCCTGGGAAACATGATACTCTTACATAGAGCACTGTACTGTACAGCTCACAGTCTAGGCATGATGTAGTTATCTCAAACAAAAGCAATTGACCAAAGTCCATGTAGACTGAAATCAACACTAACAGGTGAAAAGGAGACAAACGGCCTGAAGGAACTCATGATCGACATGCTTCAGAGCTGTAGCAACGGCCACCATATCATATTCTCGCCGCCACATTGAAGAATTTCCAGCGGTACTGCGTAGTTGGCAGATGAAGATCGGCTCATTCGTGGAGCCTCCGATGACATCTGCTGCTGCTGCTGCACTGCAACTCCGCCGCCCAGCCATGACTCGCGCCCCGTCAATAATCAGTTACTAAGTAATTCTTCCTCTTCACTCACTCTCTTCTGCTTCGTGTTCGCTTCTAACCAAGACTTTCGTCACAACTACCTCGTGAAACCTCATCATTTCCTATTATTCAAGTTTCGTCTGCCTAGGATAGGATAATAATTTCCTTCTGACCCAGACGCAAACAACCTTACATCCGTTCATATACCAAATCTCCGCCCGCTCGCTGCTGTCGAACCCCGTTCCCCGATCTAGAACCTCTCCCCCCCCCTCTCCTCTCTCCCATCCTCTCTCCTCCACCCCCCCCTTCCCTCCCTTATCTTCGTCGGGACCCTTCGACCCTTCTTCCTCCTGCGATTCCTCCACCAACACCCCATTTCACTTTCACCATCACAATGAGTCTCTGTGGGCGTCAGAAAGTTGTGCGCCGGAAGATGGTGCTCTTGTCAGTGCAATCTATAACTTATCGGTCGGCCAGCTGGGAATTTGAAGAGCTGACTTCCTAGATAAGAGGGGACGGTGCTTGCGGAAAGACCTCGGCTTTGAATGTATTCACGAGAGGGTTTGGCCATCTGATCAGCCCCCCTGTTTTCTCCAAACCGAACTAACATCCTCCCACTTTAGATATTTCCCCACGGTCTAGTGAGACACCTGCTTTGCGCTTACGCTTGTTTGCGATTGATTTGTTGACCGCAGCATTGACTGCATAGTGAACCCACCGTCTTCGGTACGCATTGGCTGTTCCTCCCTTGAGATGATATGCTTGCTAACGTGTTGTTGGAAATTAGAGAACTATGTACATGGTAGCTACCTCCCCGCCCGATATCGGCCTTGGCTACTCCTATATACTCATTCTCTCGCCAATAGACATCTTCGTCGACAATGTACATATGGAACTGTCGCTCTGGGATACCGCCGGCCAGGAAGAGTTCGACCGACTGCGCGCGCTATCATACGAGGATACGCATGTGATCATGCTCTGCTTTAGTGTAAGGAGGACCGATGCGAACGGCTCTGTGTTGCGATTTTGACCCCGTACTAGGTCGACAGTCGCGATTCGTTCGAGAACGTGGCCAGCAAATGGATCGAGGAAATCTCCGAGAACTGCCCCAGCGTGAAGCTGGTCCTCACGGCACTGAAATGTGACCTGAGAAAGGACGAGTTCCTGAACGATAACCCCAACGCCATCGCCTACGAAGAGGGCCTTGCGAAGGCCAAAGAGATTGGTGCTGTCAAATACCTGGGTACGGAGTCTTTTTGTTTTGTGCGCCCCTGCGGCGGTTCATGCCTTGCTGACATATGACCTGCAGAATGCTCCGCCGTGCAGAACCGTGGCATCATGGAGACTTTCTACGAAGCAGCCAAGGTGGCCCTGGAAGTGAAAACTCAGGGGTCGAACGGCTCCGGGGATCGGTGTATCATTCTGTAGACCTGCTGGGTCTCGGTCGCTCTTTGCTTTTTTCTGCTCTATTATTATACCCGTTCTCAATATTCCCCTCTATGGTTCGACAAAACCGACCTGGATCAGTTGCCCTGGATACGTGCCTGCAGTTTGGGAGGATCTTGCTTGAACCTTCGAAAGACCTTGTTTCGCCGCAAATTCAGCCTGTCGTACTTTGCATTTGATCGCCCTATGTCCGTTTTCTCTATATATACTTCTTTCTCTCTCTCTGTGTCACACACATCGTCCTCATATTAATCGTGTACACTTACTGTCATGATTGCGTGAACCCTGAAGCTTTTTGTTCTGGAAAGCATGCAAGACAAGCCTGATGGGAGAGATGTTCAAGGCAGATACCTACATCATTATATCTATATCATCCATCGTCCTAAGCATAGATCGAGAAAACAACCTATGAGTACGAGTATTAATACCGTGTCTAATCTAAAATCCCTTGGATAACTCCCCAACCCAAGGCCATACCCCATGGTTACTTTTTATTTAATTTGATTCCCTCAACAAATCCTCCTCCGCAACAGTATACACCTCCTCAATCCCCTCCCCCTTCCCTTTCCCGCCCTGGAGCGCGAAATCCCGATTCACGCGCCGCACAAACGCCTCGACAAACCGGCCCGCCACCGTCGGGATGTCCGTCCGCACCCCGACGCCCGCCAGACTCGTCGCCTCGCGGCCCTCCAGCCCACACGCCACGATCTGCCGGAACCACCACATGGGCTCCTGGGTGACATTGAACCCGATCCCGAAGCTACTGATATTCCGCCGCAGATGCACCCCGACCGCCGTGATCTTGTGGGGTAGCTGTGCGTCATCGGTGCCGGTGTTGTGCCGTCGTTGTTGACCGGGCAGCGGCGCAGGGGGAGGATGCACCCACACGCCCGGATCCTCCGTCACCAGGCCCCGCACCCCGTACGAGGCCAGCACGTCGATCACGCTGTTCTCCAGCAATCGGATGTGGCAGCGCGGGGTCAGCCCCAGGCGCCGCAGGTCGAGGATCGTGTACGCGACCATCTGGCCCGGGCCGTGGTAGGTCGTCTGGCCGCCGCGGAGGGTGGGGTGGTATTCTGCTTTCTCTTTCTCGGGCGAGCCCGGCGATCTCGCGAAGGATGAGGGGGTGGGGTAGGGCGTTGGCGGGATGAGGAGCGGGCGGATTTGTTCGAGGGGTGGAGGGAGGGAAAGGGAGAGCGTGTTGTGGGGTTGGGGTTCTTTTGTGCTGGAGGGGGGTGCAGCGCCGGCGGTGGTGGTCGTGTCGCGCGGACTGGTGTTCGAGGGCGGGAGGTCGCGGCGGCCGGTCGTGTAGACCGGGTGCGGGGTGAAGGTGATGATTGTTGGGTCCGGGGGCGGCGGGGGCGTGGTGGTGTCGTTCGCCGAGGAGAGCAGTTTCTTGTGCGTGAGCAGGCGCGTGGTCAGGGTTTGTTGGAGGTGGGAGATGCGCGTGAAGGAGGTTAGGTCTGGGTAGTGGATGTGGGCGAGGCGCATTTTGGATTTTGCTTTGGGGGATGATGGTGTGTGGGTTTGGCGGTTGGGTGTAAGTTGTTTAGAGGGTGTAGGAGGAGTTGTTCATAGCATTGGTGGTTGGGGAGAAGGGCAATTGGCTTGTCATTAAGGGAAAGGTTGGAGGAGGGGAGCTGGTGATGATGGTTTGCGCGGGCGGAGAAGATTCGAGCGGATGGATGGATGGACGTCACCGCGGGAAACTAGGTTTGGGACGGAGTCGGTGGGAGAGTTAACTTTGCCGCCGATTGCTGGCCGGAAGATCATGTGGTGGCAGCTACCTTATTTTAGAGATGACCGCCTCGATTGAGATCTCTGGACATATAAGTTGGTTTTCATAATACGCAGATATAGTCACTAGACTTTTGGACATATGTTCCTCCAAGCCACTGATATGGACAAGATATGGGTTGGACAGAGTAGACAATGCGGGATTTGAATTGGTGAGAACATTGAGAAAGAAAGGACTGCAACTCGAAATCATGCAGGCGCAACTCCATTGACCAAGGTCTCCTGCGACTCGCCCTCACGAACCAACTGCCAATCACGCACCCCTCCCTTCCAGTCCGCAATACGTCCCTCCCGCACCTGCACAGTCACTACCCGCACGTCACTGTCAATCGAGATGCTCGGCCTTCTGGCTCCCGGCTGTTGTTGGAGCTGCTGTCCGAACGTGCCGATCTCCTCCTCGAAAGTGTTGTTCTCCAAGTGCTGTGTCTTGCACCATTCCTCCTCCTCCGAACCGGGCTCCAGGACCCGGGCAGTACCGGCAATTGTCGTGGAGATGCTCGACAGCGCACTCGTGTTCAAGTTCAGCAGTAGGCTAGCCAAGGATGAGCGGGTGGCTGCGGGTGGCGGAGAGCCTTCTCGGTCACCCCCGGGGTTGGATGCGCGCGTAGGAGGACGGTGAGAGACCCAGTCGTGGACCAGAAGGGAGACACGAGGATTTGTCAGAATCTGGTTGGTCTTGCGAGACGATGGGTTGGTGGTCATGATAATCGTGGGGTATGGGTCGAACGGAGTGGATGGTAGGTAGGTGTATGACATGAGGGAGATGTGGGGGGTCATGCCATCGGTGGTTGCAAGATGAAGCTAGTGAGGGATTAGAGAGTAACCCGTGAGTCTGAGCAGACAGCTAGCAAGGACTTACAAAGCGCGAGTTCTTGAGGCTGGAGACCACCTCCGTAGGCAAGGTGCTGGCGACATGCGGGTGGCAGGTCGAGGCGGACGCCTCGTACGACAGGGGAGGGTTGTTGGGGTCTGCCATGGTGGTGATTGTAGATGTAACTTATTCCGAAGCCCTGCCAGTATTGTATGTGATACGTGACTCTCAGTATAAACTGTACACCGATCAAGAGCAGCTGAGAATGGAGGAGCGCAAGTGGAGGGGCTGCGGAAGCCAGAGCAGCTCACTATCACTAATCCAGATTGGGGATGAGCGGTTGAGCGCGGATCACCAGGCGGGCCGAGTCGATTACCTAACACCCGTTGCTTGTCTGGCAACGCTCGCTTGCCGTCGACGTCATTGAGATCGAGCTCTGTTTTGATCCGATGATTCGGTGCTTAATGCTTATGGAGATTGTGACAGGGGCAAAATAACTCAAGACTAGTACTCATATGAGTAGTACTGCTAGGTGCTTTGGACAAGATGATGAGGTTTTACCCGTCAAGACTGATAGGGCGGAAGGAGCTTTAGGAGCCACTTGTTTCGTCATGGTGGTCTCAACCATTGAGCAGTAATACTCGTTGTTGGACTGAAGATCGCGGCAGAGTCCAGACGGTGACGAATCATCCGCAACTCTTCCGTTATCAGGAGAGCTGCTTTACTAGATCCTTTTCGGCAGGATGAGCGGATGCAGGGCCTAGGATCACTCGGTCATATGGATTACTTCACTGGAGGCCAAGATTGGTGGTAATCATATAAGAACAGGTGATGACTGGCAATAATACCCAAGTAATCACCCACGGTTAGCACTACTGGCCGATTTCCCCGCACTTTGCTCCGTAACTACTAGTGACGGTCGACTTTCCCCAGCTTCCAAAAACACCTACGGTACTTCGGGGGTACCTCGCAGCTCTCAGCTCGCCCTCCGCTCTTCTTCTTCCTCTGCTTCTTCTTCACCTCCTCTTCCACATCCACGCCTCTTACCTTTTCAACCAGTGTCATTTGATCTCTCACCACCACCACCACCACCACCTCCTACCCTGTCCCAATTCTACCAACCAGTATCTTCCTGATCCGCAGGATTAATTCTACTCCGCTCCCGCCGCGGCCAATTCCACCAGTTCCTCTTTGCTGCTAACCCTGGCCTCCAACGCTTGCTACCCGACTGGTTCTCAGCGATACTTCCTGCCGTGCTCCTTCCTCTCAGCCATTCGGTCAGGTCACTAAGTTGTCGCGTGCTGGCCTCGTTATATCCCTGTCCCCTTGTGTCTCAGCCTCTGTGTCTTCCCCCTCCCTACTTATTAAACCCCTCTCCTACAATCCTTCCCTGTTGCTTTCACTGCTCTGTGCTTGGGTTGATCATACGGTTGACCCTTCCGTTGCCAGCGTCTTTTCACCCACCATTGTCTTCTATTTGTCTCCGGTTGAATTTCTAGCCTTTGGGCAGCTGCTTGTTGTAAAAGCATAAGCCATGTTCGCACAACGCGTGGTTCGTCCAGCTTCGGTGCTGGCTCGCCCCTTCAGTTCCTCTGTTGCTGCCTTCCGTGCCCCTTCCATCCGTGATCTCACCCCCGACTCGGCTGCTGAGTTTAACGCACGGCAGAAGGAGTTTCGCGAGAACCTTGAGGTGTCTCGCAAGAAGAGAGAACAGCAAGAGAGTCAGTCTGTCGATGCTTCTGCTTCTTCCTCTGCATCATCCCCTTCAATTCGTGACCGCTTCCGTGAGTACGCTACCGCTCCCACTGCTCCGCTCGAGAGCAATGGAAGCTGTAACAACAGCCCCGACCTTGAAGCTGCAGATGTACCTGTTGGGAAGGCATTGGGCTCACTCTCTACTTATCATAAACTAGAAGACGAACAGCTGCTGGAATCTAGCCAGTCTCCGAAACGCGGTCCGCTGTCGTCGCTCATCTACGGAACGAAGGAAGGCCAGCAGCTCGACAAGGACATCGAACGGTCGTTCTCGCAAGTGCTCGCCCGAGGCAAATACGTCCATTCCATTGTCTTCCACGATGTCAAGCCCGACAAAGTCGATGAATATGTCAACCTCGTTGGCCAGTGGTATCCTCGCATGGCGACCGAGCCCGAGAACAGGGTCAACCTAGTCGGAAGTTGGCGTACCCAAGTCGGCGACAACGACACTTTTGGTAATTATAATAGCCGACGTTCTTAGTGATGCTAGTCCCTGTCTGCGTACTAACAGCTCGATTGAAGTCCACATCTGGGAATACCAGCGATACGAAGGTTACCACGCATCCTTGCACAATATCGCCTCTCATCCCGAGTTCGAAGCCTTTGACCGGAAGCTGAAGAGCTTGATCAAGAGCAAGAAGACGTCACTCATGCAGGAGTTTTCCTTCTGGCCCACGACCCCTCCCCGACGCCTCGGTGGCTTGTTTGAACTTCGCTCATATACTCTTCACCCTGGGAATCTCTTGGAGTGGGAGACACATTGGCGTCGCGGCCTCACCGCCCGTCGCGAGGTCATGGAGGGAGTCGGTGCTTGGTTCGTGCAGATCGGAGACTTGAACACAGTGCACCATCTCTGGCAATTTGCCAACCTGGAGGAGCGGAAGATTCGCCGCGAACAGTCCTGGGGCATTGAAGGCTGGGCGGAGACCGTGCACAAGACCGTCCCATTGATCCAGAGCATGCAGAGCCGGATCTTGATCCCGATGCCGTGGAGCCCTGTCGGCTAAAGAGATTGGGTAGGCTGCGGGGAAGAAGGATCGGTGATCACAAGACAGAACCGTCCGAGCGAACTAGCCAAGCATGCAGAACCGACCAGGTTGCGGGCTTCCCTTGCAATCCATGCACCATGGATCAGGACAGGGCAAGAGGGCGAGGATCCAAACCGCCAGTGAGCGGTTCGACAGAAGGAGCGTGGGGCAACCCAGCTTTGTCCTTTCTTCCACAAATCCTGGAACTGAGGGAGTCCTTGACCTCGTTGGTCTTTATCCACACATTCTTTTAACCGGCCGCTGTGCCCACGGTGTATCGTGTCTACATTAGCATATATTGAAACTGTGTTCTTTGTTCCCTCTTTGTTCCTGTTTCAATTACCGTTTCTACCGTTTCTACGTACCTTGTAGTCAAATTATTGTCGAGATAGCCTAAACGCTTTAGGGTCAAGGATGGGCCCAATATCAAGTCGCGGCCCATGGTCCCGCTTTATTGTGCTAGCCGAGCTAGCGTAATTGAGTCCATCCCCGCTCTGTACGCGACCGAGTCACGGTGTCGAGTTGGGTGTCAAATGTTACCTCGGGTCGAATGGCGAGAGGGAATACTGGTGGTATTTCCTAGCCAACCCCACTTCGGGGGGACTTTGGTCATTTCGGTTGACGACGATCTAAGCCCCGGACGGCACAAGGAAGAATGCCATAATAAGTGATGCATGGTGCTTTATCCTAGTGAAGTCATATCAAACCATTGAACCAGCAAATGAGAGGTACAGCTGCACGTGCGCCACTTCGCCAAGGGATTGAATCTTTCGACGATGTGCGGTGAGGTTCTCTCTCTGCGAGTCTGCAGCCCTAGAGAAGTGTAACTACAGTCCGTAGAAGGAAGTGTTGAATGTTGACTGGCTGTCCTCCCCGCCTTTGCATCAAGCATCTTTTCCGCCGGCAGAAAAAAAAAGAGGGTCGTTGGGAAATCAAAACAACCAAGGAAAAATTCATGGTTGAAAAGCGAACAACATCATCGTCTGCTTTTTATTCTTCTTCCTTCTTCGGCACCTCCCTTTGTCTTAGCCTTTCCTCTTCCTCTTCTTTTCTTTTATCATTTTATCTTTCATCTTCAAATCGACTTCCGATCCTTTTCGAAGTTGACTCATATTCTGACGTCCTCTCTCCCTTCCTACTTCCGGGACATCTGGACATTCTGACATCAATCTTAATTTGCCGCCTAATAGGCTACCTTTTCCGCGCGTGAAGAATAACAAGGACAAAACATATCCGGGCCTTTCGCATTCTGCACTTGATTCATCGGACGTACCGTATCGATTACTG